TTTGTTTGCATGCTGGAAATTTACTAGCCTGAAAGCCTTTGGATTCCAAAAGACTCCTGCAGTGTGAAAAGTCAAATGTGGGGGTCAACCAAGAGGAAGTGGACACAGATGCCACACACTGACCTGACAAAAAGACATCCAATGAGGTAAATTAAACAGTTTAAATCTGAAATCCAGTCTTTAATACTCCAGTGTCTCTTTCTGTCAGGGAGAATTTGCACTGGATTTAAGAATTGAAAATAAAAGTTTTGTAAAAGGAGGAAAACATATTTCTAATTCCTGTAAACTTACAGAAGAATCTACAGTATGACATGTTATGAGTCATTAGAGCATTACAACCAATAGTTTAACTTTATTTTTATTGTTCCTTAAATACATTCTGTTGACTATAAGTAATGTTGCACCTACATGTCTACTCACTCTCATTAGAGCGTTAGTAGAGTATTAGTAGACTGGTAGGGTTAGAATAAGTTGACAAGTAGTTGCAAAGTTACTATAGTCAATACAGAATGTTCAAAAGGGACCATCAAAATAAAGTGTTACCCATGCATCTCACCATCATGTCCTTGTGGGCAATAAACCATGTGGTAGATATCACACTGCAGTCACACTGTTTGATGATTTCAGTTAGCAGTTTTTTTATTAATACTGAAAGAGGACAGGCAGAGAGAGAGAGACAGGGCAATATGTACCATTCCTCCATGTGGATGTTCTTCTTCGCTCTCCTGCAATGGCTGACTGCCCTGTGGGGGATTCAACATCACTTCTTTCCTCTCCATTACACTGCCGCTCCCTCTCCTCCATGGTGACGGTCACTGTCAGAACCTGCTGGAAAACACATGCACCAAAATATTAACACTTTCTCACTGCAAACAGTCTTAAAAATAAAGGTTCCATAAGGGGGTTTTCAGCGATGCTACCGAATAACCTGCACTTTTGGTTCCTCAAAGAACCGTTCAAGTTCTTAAAATAACTTGGTGTGAACAACATTTTAATAATATGAAGATTTTTTTCCACTATAAAGAACATTTTTTTGAATGGAAAGGTTTCATGGATGTTAAAGTTTCTTCATGGAACCATCAATTTTACAATGTATACAAGTAAAATTTGACCAACTATTTCAAATGAGCACTTAAAGCTACACTGTGTGGTTTTTACCCCCACCTAGCGGTGAAAAGGTATATGACCATCCAGTGAATATTACTTTCTGTTCCTCTCAATTGCGATTTTGTTTTAACTCCTACGGTGGCCAATGTAGTCCAAGATTAACATGGCTTCCAGTTCGACCTCGTCCATGAGTGTTAACTCAAACGTAAACGCGAAAGGCGAAGCTTGAATTAACGGGTATGTCCCTCTTTGGCTAATGTACTTTCAAGATGGAGGGGCAACATGGCGACTGCTTACCCATATGTATTTTCAATGGCATATTATACACTCACGAGAATACTTTATTACTTGAACGAAGTAAATATACATAAATGAGCACATATATTTTTAAAAGAACTAAGTGTTTTTAGCTAAGAATAAACTAAAAGAATTACACAGTGTAGCTTTAAGGAACTCAAAAGTTGCACTCAAAAGTGGAGGCAGATGACTGTGAGTTTAGGGATGGGATTTAAGTGAACTAAATGATTGGAGAAGACCTGATTATGTCCCCAGAGTTAGTCTGTCGTTTTCACTGTAAAGTCCAGCTATGACATTTTGATTAAACAATTGCAGTCAAATTGAACTTATAGACTTGTGCATGGCTGAATTGCTCACAATAAGATCATACACCTGAACATACTGTTAAGGTGAATATTTATGTGGTGCCGACTTTGTTTCGTGGCCAATGGACATGATATCTTTGTGTTTTTATCACAGTAAAGTAATTAACTCTTAGTATCTGCAGTAATAATAGTGATGCTTGCCTCCACAAGCACCACAACTTAATAATGTTAGTAATGAAGGTCAAGATTTTGTGATGTGTAACATAAGAAAAGCTACATTATGTTTACTGTTATGTAAATGTATACAGTAGTTTCATAATTCTAACTAATTCTAACTTGCACTCAGAAAGGAGATTCAAACTTCATAAAAAGCCCAAACATGACAAAGAGCGTGATGACAAACCTTTTGTCAGGCCAGCTTGTTTCAGTCGATGCTTTTAGCACAGTGCACTGCCTGTTTAAGAACAGGAAACTCCAATCTCGCAGTCAACTTCTGTTTTTATAGTTTCATATACAAGAAAGTTAGGAAGATGTTAGGGTTTCTCAACGTTAAAGAAAACGGATAGCATTTCTTAACCAGTTTCACAAAATTCTGCATGTCCTTTTAAGTTACTGTGAGTGAATGCAAGAAGTGTCTTTATGCATGCACAATATGCATCAATGTGCATTAAACTTTGCATTCATTACAGAGAGACTGCTTCAGAAAGCTGTAAATGTTTTACCATTGTGACTTAGGGAACACAAATCAAGATTGTTTTACAGCAATTTTAACAAACCTGTAAACACACAACAGCGTTCACAGCTGACTTCACTGTAGCTGACTCCCAAGCTGAAGAAAATGCAAAGACAAACAGACATTATACACAGAATGATATTACCCTGAAAATGATCCCTCCGTCTCATTCTCACTCACCCTTGCTCCTTATCTAAAACAGCAAACACGTTTTACTGCTGAAGAACAGTGTGCATCTAACAGCAAGTCCATGTCTTCATTGTGTCTGCCTCTATTTCTTCTCAGTTATGCCTGCTGTTGCCACAACATTTGTTCTTTTTATTATTAGGCTCCTCCCACTGTTTTTAACTCATTTATTTAGCTCTTCATATAAATGTATTCTTCTTCCAAATATTTCTATCAGGCTCCTCTTTAACCGCTCTCTTTCTCTTTCACTCTCTGTGAGAGTGTCTTCCTCTTTATGTGAATGCAAAACTTATTTTAAACCCTCCCCCTTGTGCTCTCCCACTATCTCTCTGTTTTCTATCATTTCTTTTTCTCTCAGCTTGTGACTCAGCTCAGTCTGAACACATGACTGCAGGAATGTACACACAATTTCACAGACCGATGCTGAAATGTGTGCGCTTGTGCTTGAATAAGAGTGAGCCCAGCTAAGGAAATAGAGACATGTGCCATAATGATGTTGTGGTTTTCACATTTACTGCTGCCAAAACTGGTGCTGCTCATTGAGTTTGTAGAAAACAAACAAAACCGGTTTTGAGTCAAAGTTCCATTGGTGATGTTCTCTTGCTGTGGTTTTATATGGTTTTATAAACCTGGTTCAGAACTGTTCTACATAAGCATATTGTCATATTTTTGTAACACTATATTTTACTTTTGTGACAACTTACAACATGTGTAAAAATACCACACTGTACCATTAGGGGGGTATTACAATGAAGTTATGTATTTATTTATGAATTCATTTATTTATATTAGCCAGTACTTAAAGGTCAGAAAATAAACTTCCCTGAAACATTTAATGGAGGAAAATGTGTGACAACTTTCCCCAGATCACCTTTCCAATTCAGAACCTCATAAAATTGGGGGGAAATCCCTAAAATTAGTCAAAAATTCAAAGAAATTTCAAATTTATCTCAAACATCTTATGTAAATCTAAGTAATGGTTGTACATGAAAATAAAATTTGGCAGCACACTAATGCCATCAACAGGCTTAGTTAAAAATTGCATCTACGCAAATCAGGTTTACTATGAGTACTATCATGTCTATGAGTCAACATCTATGTGTATAATGGTTAATAAATAATTGTTCTATAATATATTAAACGTGCTTCAAATTTGTAGCACAACAAACAATGTACAAGGTTAATATGTTAAAATATAATATTATTCCTATTAGAAATCCTTTATAATTAAATCAAATTGTTGTTTAATAATTATGTAATAATATTTAATATTCTGGGAGACATTGTACGTAATTTTATACAAATTAGCTATTTAAAAGCAACAACAATCCCAAGGACCTCTGAAATCTTACACATAAATAATCAACTGTTTTTGTCATGCTGTTAACACAGATCAAGATATCAGCTACTTTTTATTCAGCATCTTATGCCATTTATTCTATCACGCAAATCATAATTATACAGACAATCACGCAACATCCTACCCCAAGTTTCATCCTGTAATGATCAACGGATGTGGCTGCTGCAGTATGCTACTATGGCTACAAATAAATCATAGCTTTTCAGCTCCAAATGAACCAAACCAAAGCCCGTCTAACGGAGAGCCTTTGGTTGCAGTTCCATTAGAATTCCACTGGAGGTGATCACGGGCGAGTGCTGAATGAATGGGAGTCTATGGAGCTAGACGGCTAAATGTGTCTCTTTCTCCTTCTTGTCGTTGAATCAACATAGATTTATTGTTGATTCCGCAATTTCAATATAGATTATAAGCCAAAAGTCGAGTGAACGAGAACTTTTGTCCTTTCGATTTCTTACAGGTTAGGCCGTTGTTGGCCGGAACACGCTAGCATTCTGCTATTGTGTGACGTCATCACATCTTTGAACGGATTTTTAGACCAAATAAGTTAACTTAAAAATGCAATTTTCAGCTAAGTGTATTATCTTAGTCATTCCCTTTGAATGCAACTTTCAAATTACTTGGCAAAAAATTACATCCTGAAAAAAAGGGGATTTCTGGTGTGAAACACAATAGACTCCCATTCATTCTACACTCTCGACCGCGAGCGCCCCCGCATGGACAGAGCCAGCCCAGAAACCGGAAGTAACCAGCCAGTGCCAATTCTCTTCAATTAGACATTCTCTGACCAAACACACGTATAGAATTGAATGATCTAATGTAATCAAATAAAATGCTCATGGTCCTATTCCTTATGTAAATAGGTCTGGCGTGTGATTCTGACGTCTGACAGTGGAAGGAGTGTTGCCAAGTCAGCTGTTTCAACGCTGAATTCTGCTTCACATTTGTCGCGGGTTGAAGCGATTTTTATTGGTTTTAATATGCAGACCTGGCAACCCTGAGGCCAGTCACATGACTGTATGGTTGAGGATGTGAGTGCTGAGGAGTGTTGTTGTCATGTGTCGATACTTCAGGATTCACAAGCGTTATTAAAATACATAAATAGCATATTCAAGAAAGTATCTCTTTGTGTACTATCTGCTCTTGTCGCTGCCTTAATCGTTTCAATGGATTTTATTCGACAATTTGGGATTGCTCTTGGGATAGCAATGCTTTCCTGTGTCAAGTCTCAGGTAAATACAGTAACGTTACATGACGACTGTCACATGATTGTGTCCTGTTCTGTATACTCTGTTCCTTTATTAGAGTTTAACATTAATATGCTGACTGAAGTATAATTGTAGATTTATCTTGCAGTGGTGCATGACTGTAAGCACTGTGAATGTCACTAAGAGAACATTTGTTTGTTTTTTTAATTGCACTGTTCTGTTGTGCTAGGCAAGAGAAACATAATTATATTTACATTTTTCATACAGATCTAGTAAATCTTTCCTTTATTTTTTTTATCTTAATCCCAGTCAAAATCTATGTAAATATCCCAAAACAGTCAGCCAGTATGTACATCTACTCAAGTTTGTTTGTTGCATACACATCTTGACAGAGATACTGTGAACAAACTAGTAAAGTAGTTCCTTTTTAGGGGCTGTTAATCTTCTAGACATAATAGTTACTGAAAAGACCTTCATAAACATATTGGTTTGTCATGTGATTGTCAGGTGAAAAAAAAATTATCTGATTTCTTCATCCCTTTGTTTTATATGTGTAATTCTACATGCTTCCCACAGATTGACCCACTGATATATGACGAGCAGTTGCTATGGGTCAGCGGTGGAGCCGGTCAGGTCAACACTTACAGGATCCCTCTGCTAACCTTCACAGTACGTGGAAGTCTGCTGGTGTTCACTGAGGCCAGGAAAATGTCTTCCAGTGACATCGGGGCGAAGTTCATCGCACTGAGACGCTCCACAGACAGAGGTGGATCATCCACTTTCCGAAATGCTTTATTAATTCAGTGATAAATGGCTATTACTTAAGATAGAATTGAATTCCAATCGCTTTCTTGTATTTCTCAGGTGCCACCTGGTCTCCCACCTCATTCATTGTGAACGATGGTTCACTAGCAGATGGGCTGAGTCTTGGTTCTGTGGTTGTGGATGAGGAAACTGGTGCTGTCATCCTCATCTATGCTCTGTGTTTTCACCGTTACCAGTGCAACCCTTCCAGCACCATGATGGTGCAGAGCCTGGATGACGGGTTTACCTGGAGCTCCCCGCAAAACTTGTCCATTGAGCTGGGGGTGAAGAGCTTTGCACCAGGGCCTGGCTTTGGAATACAGGTGTGGTTAGCACTGTCTGCTTTCTGTTCCTCCTTCAAACGAAAACATAACTTTAACACTTCCTGTTGTTTATGATGTTGTTATGACTTCTCAGGTTATATAAACTATATTTTATTGTGTATGTGTTTAAGCATTGGTTTTTAGAGGAGAACGAATAATCTCAAGTGACCTTTTTTCCTGTATTTTTTTTCTGCTCAAGAGCAGTTTATATGCTTTTAGTTCATCATATGCCTGTGTTCACAGAAACGTTATCCACCCAACAAGGGGCGTTTGGTGGTGTGTGGCCACGGTTCCATTGCTGGTGATGGGGTCTTCTGTATCCTGAGTGATGATCATGGTAAATCCTGGAGAAATGGAGCTGCTCTGAAGAGCATCCCTTACAATCAGCCTAAACAAGAACTGGACTTCAACCCAGATGAGTGTCAGGTAATATTACACTATTTTATCTAAATACACTGTATAAATATATATTATGATAATTAGAGTATTTAATTGAATCCGACCATTTGAATGTTGTTGAGACATTTCTTCGCTAGCATGATAAGAAATGGAGAATGTCAGACTTTCTGCTTTTAAATGACTCTTTTTGAGCCATCGAAGCTCTAAAAGTCAGTGGTTTTTAAGCTTTTTGACTCCAAGGCCTCCCATTGTCCACAAAAATATAAAAATATATTTTCAACAAAACTTTTCCAGTTGTTTGTGATTTACTGATTTGGTTTTAGCGTAAGGATTTATATATACTGTATATATGTACTTGTATTTTCTACCCCATTAAATATTTAGAGCTTGGCATAACTTGAAAAATGTATATTCATTATGCCCATGGATTGTATGATTTTATTCCATGTTTTTTAAGATGGTTGTTGAGGGAGGTAAATTACAGAAATATCTTGATTATCATATTATAATGCTCATTTTTGTCACCTTAAAGGTTCTAAATGTAACTTTTCTTCTGAAATGAATATTTTTTTTAATGCCTGTGTGTGAAGAGGTTGTAATCACACATTACAATGATCCACTTTTTGGGTTTTGCTATTACCCCTGAAGGCCAGTATTCCTATTTCTATGTGAAGTCTCCGGGTCGGATTTTCTGCGAAAGCCATCGGATGTGACGTGCATGCGTGCTCCCGAGCCTCGCTCCTTTTTATATCACAAAGTATTACAAAGGACACTAAAATAATGCACAAAAAAAAGAGAGAAAAGAAACAGAAAATACAACAAAAAAAAAAACACCCTAATGTACTGATCAAAAAAATAAAACTGTTGAAATGGGTGATATAATGCCCTTTTCACAAGATGTAAAATAAATCTCTGATGTCCCCAGAGTGTGTGTGTGTGAAGTTTTAGCTCAAAATACCCCACAGATATTTTTATATAGCATGTTAAAGTTGTCAATTTCTGAGGGTTAGCAAAAACGCACCGTTTTGTGTCTGGCCCTTTAAATGCAAATGAGATGCAGCTTATTTTTTCTGTAAAACTTACACACATTTTTTACAGTGTAGGCTTGATATTAAACAGCTGTACTACGTTTGACTTGACACATTACGTCTGTCTTAACAGCCAGTGGAACTAGAGGACGGAAGCATAGTCATCAATGTGCGCAACCAGAACAACTACCACTGCCGCTGTCGAATAATAGTGCGGAGTTTGGACGGAGGCGAGTCTCTGCCTGTGGAGGAGCTGGTATTTGACAAAACGCTGATTGACCCTGTCGTTGCAGCCGGTGCCCTGCAGAAACAGGGAGTGATGTACTTCACCAACCCTTCCAACTCTCAGCACAGTGAGGAAGAGCAGTTCACAAAGTCTTACTTAGAAATATCAAAATTAAATCGTTATGGAGCCGTAATTTCAATTTTTTATCTTTTATTTTTTTTTGCACAGGGGTCAATCTAACTCTTCGCTGGTCTTTCACTGGTGGGAAGTCATGGGAAAAGGAGGCAGTCCAGATCTGGGCGGGGCCAAGCGGTTATTCGACTATGACGTCATTTAAGGGAGATTCTCCTGAGGACAACAAATACATCTTTGTTGTTTATGAAAAGGGCCATAAAGATTACTTTGAGACCATCTCTTTTGCCAAAATTCATCTATATGGAGGAAAATAGTATACAGGAAAAGAAAGAAAAGGGATATTTAGGGACTTTTAAAAAGGACTTTTTTGAGCCTAATGCACAATAATTTTTACATTTCTCTACATCACATTTGGGATTCTGGCTGATTCTGGCAGATTCACTGTGTTGATATGAATTCCACTCCAGAAAGAATCATCCTGCTTCATTTTATTATGATGATACATACATTACAATGATTTTAAAGATTTGTTTTAAATGGCGTTTACAATAATGTGACTGGAGTGACTCTTATGAAGCTACAGCAATCTTAAAATGGTTGTTTTCTGTTCAACAGTGATCGATTTCCAAGTCTTGAAATAATGTTTTAAAGGTACACTGTGTAACTTTTTTTGATCAAAATTCATATGCAAACTGTGTTTTTGTCTCATCCTGTATCACTGCAGTACTCCTACAATAAGGGATTCAATTCTGAGCTTTTTAGACCAGGCGACACAACAACAGTAAAATAGCCCAGTACCTGCGTGACTCATCATACACATAAACAGAGAGAAGTAGCTCTGGCTACAATGTTGTTCAACAAGATGCATGGAGTTTTGTTTATTAACCTGCTAGAGTGCCAAATGTTACATAGTGTACCTTTAAATACTGAAATGTGATTTGATCTTAATTACAAAATCAAACTGTTTCTCCAGTCCCTGGTTTTGCTTACATTTATACGGGTTTGAGACTGATATAGCCTAGAAACCTCTAGGCAAGTGTGCTTTTTCTCCACATAAACAGCTGTGAAGTCAGAAAACCCATTTTGTATTTAACTATGTAATTGATTTTCTTGCGGTTATATGGTTTTGTTTACCTAGTCTGGCCCTCTTGTGGCCCCAGATAATGTATTTTTAAATGACAGCCATTTATTTGGGTAACATCCTAATGTAAGCGAGTATTACACGTTGAAAGTCACCCAAAAGGCTTTTGCTGTTTTACATTTTGATATTAACACATTTGACTTTTCCACTTGATTTACTGGATTGCACAGGGACATCTTTCATTGTTCAATAAATTTTCTATTTTGATACAGCAACTGATTGTTTAATTTTCAAGTCCATTGTAGACGTCCAATAGATTTCTTAGGCGACCTGAAAGAACACGGACAATCTCAGAGTAAAACTGGGTGTTGTGAAAAATTTGATGTTTTGCCATATGAGAAGTTAATCTAGCCTATGTATCATGTTTTTACTCTAATTTCTTTTATAACTGCTTTTATTTTGTGGTTATTTTAATTCCTTTCTGTACAGCACTTTGAATTGCCACAGTGAATGAAATGTGCTTAAAATAAACTTGTCTTGTGTGTGTGTTAACACAACACAACAAAATAGCAGTAAAAAGCATATGCCCATATTAACTGTCTCAGCCATGGTGTCATAATAATTTCCTTAATCTTAACCTTAGCTAATACAGGTCCAATGTTTACTTGTGTAGGCCTATCAAAATGCATAATAAGATTATAAATTGTTAAATTTGCTACTAGGCCTATTAGTAGGCCGGACTATCTGATGGTTTCCAAGCTAGTTAGTCAAGTGAGGACTGCTTCACTGATTTTAAATGTCATGTCTGTCAGCAAAGTAAACCGGTCTGTTTTCATATCTTTTAAGTCATCGGGCTGACTGACTCGTAGTAGGCTATGCTACGCGCGCTTGTAATTTAGGGGATAAATAGCCTAACCCTGATGATAAAATATTACAGAATAGTGCACATTGACAACAGTTGCCGTCATGACTCTTTTGCGGATTTTTCTTCTGACGGTACTGTGTTCATTTGCGCGAAATGAAAAGGTAAGCCTACTATTTTGTTTACTCATAACTATGACGATTATTAATGACAAAACATCACGCTTCGCGAACAAACATTTCAATATCCAAAATACCAAAACACTTGTAGCTATTAATCTGGCAATTGTGGCAGTAACAGAAGTTTGTGATCTATATTATGGAAAACTAAATCTTTGTTGCGAAAGTCCACGTCCGAGTTGCGAAAAAGATTTGCGAGTTATAAACTCGGGATTTCGAGAAAAAAATGTGAGAAAAAAAAGTAAGTAGGCTATATGTACGAATTTATTTATTGTATTTATTTTATTTAACCCTGTTGGAAAAAAAATCTTCTTCTTTGTCATAAATTAAACATTTGTGAATTCTGATGTTCAATGATCTGAATATTTTCCTGAGCAAAAATGGTAAAGGTTATATAGCTTATATAAGTCAAAAGTCATTGCCTTCACAGAACCTGTCTTTCAACAGTAAGCTTCACTGATAAATGTACACTGGCGTAAAAAGTGCCACAATAGCCTTACCTTTTTCCTTTTGTGTTTTTTCTTTTCACATGAGCAGATCAATCCTGCTGTCGCTGATGAGCAGCTGCTCTGGGTCGGTGGTCAAACTGGAGAAGTCCACACCTACAGGATTCCCCTGCTCACATTCACTTCTCAGGGGAGTCTGCTGGCTTTTGCAGAGGCCCGGAAGATGTCCTTCAAAGACATCGGAGCCAAATTCATAGCTTTAAGACGGTCCACAGACAAAGGTGTGTCACATTGAGTTCACAGTTCAGATCCAGTTTAGTAACTCGCTTGATGATCTGAACCAAAAGACATGCAAGATCCTGTTTTTCATTCTTCCTTTCTTCTCAAACTATTACTTTCTAATGACACTTTCTCAGGTGCCACTTGGTCTCCAACCTCATTCATAGTGGACGATGGTTCTCTAGCAGATGGGCTGAACTTAGGTTCGGTAGTTGTGGATGAGGAAACTGGTGCTGTAATACTCATCTACTCATTGTGCTTCCACCGTCACCATTGCAACCGCTCCAGCACCATGATGGTGCAGAGCTTGGATGACGGATTCACCTGGAGCGCCCCACGAAACCTCAACCCTCAACTGGGGCTCAATAGTTTTGCTCCTGGACCTGGCTTCGGTATACAGGTGTTCACTTAGATGTTCACTCATCTCTAGGTTCTACACTTACACCACACATAGTCTCACATTTTAGCCATGTTTTGACTACCGGCATCATATTTTAGCTGACTGCTGGCCTTTTAAGATGTGGTTGTCATTAGAATTTCATGTTAGTGCGGAAAATTTCCCCATGCAGATTTCGCATCAGGTTTAAGATGGTCATTCAGATTCATCATGTTGACCAACAGAAAGCTGCTTGGCTTGAAAGTGACCTCATATTAACTTCGCCAATAGGGCCTTTTCACACTTCACCGACAGACACTGATGCGGACAATCACCAGATTAGGTCACTTTTCAGACATTCCATGATCCAGCAAAGATTGATTGAACATGTTCAGTCGATGAAAACAAGATTTGAATAACGTCAGCAGCTGATCTGACAAAACCAAATGAAGTGTCTGTTGCCATTGTTTGGCATCTGTCAGTGCATTATGAGTCAGATAAGTTCTCACTGCGTCCTAATCAAATACTTAGTTACCTAGTATATAGTGTGCGAAAAACAAGATACCAACAAGAGTAATTTGACTAAATACATAGAATAAAAAAAAAACTGTAGGCAAAAAGTACCCTGACCGACTACTTGAGATTCTAAAGTATGTAAACAGTTTAATATCTTTAATATCTGATAAGGCCACAGGAGGAGATTTGTGAATGGGAGTATACTGTATATAGAATAAGATTTTTTTCTCTTACCATGTTTTGTTAATGGTGCCAACAGAAACATCATCCTCCTGCTATTGGGCGCTTGGTGGTGTGTGGCCACGGCAGCATCGCTGGAGACGGAGTGTTTTGTATCCTGAGTGATGATAATGGAAACACATGGAGATACGGAGCTGAACTGAAGAGTATTCCATACAACCAGCCCAAGAACGACCTCGACTTTGACCCAGATGAGTGTCAGGTATGAAGAACTTGTAAGCTATGCACTTACAAACTACATGCAAACATTTGAGAATCAGAAGAATTTGGAAAATCTTCAAACTTCTGTCTTGTGTTTTATCAAAGCCAGTGGAGCTGGATGACGGCAGTATCGTGATCAATGTGCGTAACAATAAAAACTATCACTGCCGTTGTCGTATGGTTGCACGCAGTCTGGATGGAGGGGAGTCTCTGCCGGTGGAGGAACTGGTGTTTGATCACACACTGGAAGATCCTGCTGTTGCAGCTGGAGCTTTAGAGAAGGATGGAGTGCTCTACTTCACCAACCCAGCCAACTCTAAAAGCAGTGAGTATGAGGATATCAGAAATTAAAGGAATAGTTCATCCAAAAAATGTAAATGTCCTGATTATTTTCACACTGCAGAGCAATCCAAGATGTATATGTCTTTCTTTCCTCATCCGTAGCGAAATTAAGGTTTTGGAGGAAACATTCTAGCATTTCTTTCCATCTATAGCAAGTGAATATTGTTCAATGTAGACCAAAATTGAACCATCCATGACTTGGTAGAGTTTGGAATTGGCAGAAATGGACAATCTTTTTGTTCATTTGTCTATTAGGCACAACTTTTGGCTGATAGTGATGATCTCATAATTGCTGAATCAGACAATTAGTCTGCCTGTCCCCAATATCACTACATATTTACATGGATTCTATAATATTTCTCTCTATCGTTTTGCCTTCTGGCTCTGTTTTGATGTCTGTGTTTTGTGTATGCCATAAGAGAGAAGCATATATGGTGGTGTATTATGCTTGTAAAAAATGTGTTGGTTTAACTTAAAAAAGTAAGTAACCGTAAAATTTTAAGTTGATTTGAGTTAATACAATGAAGGAGAATGATTTAATCATCAGAAACTCAAAATGATAAGTTATCTGAACTAAATAAATTATTTAAGTAGACTTTTTTAAATAATTTAAATTTGTAACCTTTTTGAAATAATTTTAAATAAGTTTTAAATTATTTAAAAAAGTAAGCTGCCTTAACATTTTAAGTTGATTGAACTAGAAAAAGTGAGTTAATACAATGAAGGAGAATGATTTAATCATCAGAAACTCAAAATGATAAGTTATCTGAACTAAATAAATTATTTAAGTTGATTTGACAAAAGAAAAAAGGTTGTGATGATAACAAATCTTGAAAATATTTTTTTACAGTGATTGTTGTTTTCTCTAGGGGTGAACCTGACTCTTCGCTGGTCTCTGAATCACGGTAAATCATGGGTGAAAGATTCTCTGAAGATCTGGGCCGGGCCAAGTGGATACTCCTGTATGACATCACTTAAAGGCAAGGAAACTGAGGATCAGAAATACATCTATGTCATCTTTGAGAAAGGACAGAAAGACTATTTTGAGTCTGTCTCCTTTGTGAAAATTGACTTGTACAGTGTCAGTGACCAATGAAGAAAGGCATTGATGGGCTAATTTTTTCGTATCTAAATAAATGCTGATTTTAATAAAACTAAAATCACTGTCATTTGCCTCTACTCACCTGTCATATCTTTTAGATTGATTGAATCAGGCTTGTGCACAATTCAGAATTGAATTGAGAATGACTTCTGAATTCCAATTCAATTTTGAATTTGAATTGATGTCGAAAACAGGATCTAGAATTACATTTCGAATTTGAATTAAAGGAAGCAGATAAAAATTCGAAGAAATTCATATAGATATTTTAAGTGTAATGTTTTCCCCCAGCTCTAGTCACAGAACAAATATTGTAATTAAGTGGAACATGATGGGACATGACTCCATTTCCCAGAATTACTTTAATAAATCTTTAGGGGGGAAAAAATGTTTTTTGAGGCGGACAGAATACTTTTAAATACCTCCACACATGCCAGCATGACAAAACTTGGTGTATTTACTAGTTGTCATTTCAACAATATAGAGGCAAAATTCTGAAATCTTTGTAAGATATCACTGAACATTTATTTTTACATGTACATGTACAACATTAACATGTATTTTTCATCAAATAAATGTAGCCGTGCTGGGCATAATAGATTTCTTTCAGAACATTTGAATTATTCCAAACTTGACTGGTAGTGTAGTACATAGCCTATATATTCCTTTTCTTTTTAGTGGATTTTGTCTTAGCACTTAGCAATAGCACTTAATAACTGTGGTTTAAAATAATGACTAAAAAATGCATAGCAGAGTTTCTTTTGTACAATGTACAATGCAGACATTGTACAATGCACATCTGGAAAATATGATGACAGCCACAAATCAATTTAAACTGCAGATGCTCAGAGATACAGGGCAGTTACATAATCTACCATTGATCTTGTGTCATGACATTATCTTGTGATATGGACTTATAAATTAGTTAAATGAACTATAAATTATATGAGATAGCTACGGTATGGACCATAGCATCAGAATGTGATCTGTAAACAAATGTTTCTCACACTTGCAATTGTGCGAAGACTGCAAAAGAAGCAAAAAAGACTGGTTGGTAGGTTTTCTTGTTATTCAGCGGATGCTTGAGTATGACCCACCTGGAATGTTTGATGTTTTTGGTGGATTAGTGTTGGTTTTTCTGAAATCACTAATGAAGCACTGGATCTCAATGTCAAATCAAAAGTGGATTTTGTTGTGACTAGGACATAAGCACTGGCTTAAATGGCTTTTTGTTCAAATATTTAAATGAATACCAAATCAGTGTTTCATACCATTTGTTTGAGTCACACAGCAAACAAGTAAACACTTCGCTTTTATTGGTGTGTTTAGACATCACATTATGCATCATCACCTGTTATTACAATGCAAGCACTGTTATACTCAAACTTACACATTTAACATTTGCATTTCTACAATATTATTCAAAGGTTTGGGCCCAGTAATACTTTTTGTAAAGAAATTTATTCTTTTATTCAGCAAGACTGCGTACAATTTTTTGAAAGTGGCAGTAAAGACATATAAAATAATTATATTTTAAATAAATGCTATTTTTTATTTATATATATTTACCTTGGTGATAGGTTAGCCTACTATAATTTAATATTTACCATGTTACTGAACAGTTACCAGTCATAAACAATAACAATGGTCATCTAAATTACCAATATTTTGACTACTCTAAATTACCCCCAAACCATGGTACTCTTTCAAAAACATGATATTTTTAATCTATCTATTACACCTCTATATGAAAAGCAAGGTTTTGCTCCAAGTGTAGAGGGAAGTGAATAATATAATAAAAAATTGTATCGACTAAGATGTCAAGTTTCACCTGTTCGTGCAAGCTTTATCATCACAGATAACGCACCTCACATTGAGAGAAGGCGCTTACGTAAATGTAAATTGTAGTTTAACATATATGATTTGATTGGCCAATAGGCATGTTCGGAAAGCATTATGTTAATTTAACCCCGCCCACTATGCGCGCATCCGCCCCTCTCTGCGCTACCATCCTCAGAAGCCGTTGACGGCTCTAATAGTGACGGATCGACCCCCCGCAATATTATTTTATTTTCCTTTTTCATTTGTTTTGAGGAAAAAGAAAAAGGAGTACAAGTAAGACTCACTGCACACATCCGTCCTCAGCAATCCCCATCAGATTTCTTCAACTCATAATCCTGTTTTGAGCTTTTGTAAGAGCTTGTGCTAACGTTAGCTAGTACACGATTATTGCTAATAACTCTACGATACAACCTCGAGACAAGTCGGAACAAGACCAGGTTAGTAGCTGTGTCTAATGACCAATCGAGTGCATTAAAGAGGTTTTATTATAGAGGTGTTTGTGGTCGTAGTGTTGTGGTCCAGCTGTCCTGCTTTTCATCGGTCGGTGTCGGCTAACGTTAGCATGCTATCAGCAAAGCTTGTGTGTGTCACATCCTGTTGAAGATGTACCATATATCGTTTTTAAAGTTATGTGGGTGTGAAGTTGTCATTTAGACTGTTCAAGTAAGTGTTGTTTTAACGTTGAGTTGGATTAACGTAACGTTAACGTTATAGGACGTGCATTTACTGAAACTGCATGCGAGGAAAAGTGCATTGTTTTGGTTTAGAAACAAGGATCCGGTTGACTCGCTTGGTTAGACATATATCAAGTCGCACTTTAAAACCCAAGAACTCTGGTTCTAGAAGAAGCCTATGTTGTTAAATCGTCACAAATCCCGATGCTAATGTGCTTGTAGCTTTGGCCTCACTTCGCCGCCGCCATTTTGTTTTGTTCTCGCCATCAAATCCTTTAGTCAAACCCGCAGCATCAATTATACGTATAGTTTATTTCCCCATTTGTGTTTGTCGCCTATTCTGATTGATCTAGTCCATGCCTAGATTAACGCACTTGTCAGATGTGATATGTAATCGTGAAGTTATGTATATTATGAAATGTATATGTCTGCCCCCTCCTCCTAGCACGAAACATGGAGGCCGCGGTTACAAGCAGCGAGTTAACAAGTCAAAACAGAACATTCACCGGGTTTATAATACACCGCTCTTTATATCAGATGCCGGACCTTTTGTATAGTTAGAAGAACAACATTAGTGTTTTTTGTGGAGAGCTGTTCTGTGTCCTCGCGACCAGTTGGCAAAGCGTGTAAAATAATCTACGCAGCTCCTGTCCGCCAGCGTTGCTTCATGTTGCGTAGAGATTATTTTCCAGGCTTTGCCAAATGGCCATCACTGCTATCCCCTAATCTGCATCTGATGTGAAGTACACTGGCTCTAATGTGTTACATATAGAAGCAGGACTGTGCTTTTTACTAAATCATTGGATTGTGCTCTTTCAAATTTGGTGGGGATTTGTTTTTGGACAGCCTTTAAAATGCAGTTTTAGTTGTCCTTTGAAAATATTTCCAGTCAGGTTCTTACTATTATAAAATCATACAAAATACACATGGGCTTACACAAACATTATAAGAATAATTTATAATGGTGCTATTGAGAGTGGTACTAATAGTAAATATTTCAGTTACTTTTATTTTGGCCAAACCAGTGGTTATGGTGTTTTTTAGTTTTTTTTGTAAGCGATGTTAATGTACCTTATATGATTTTATTGTGGGCTTTTATTAATTATATATTATGTTGAATGTCACATTGTTGAAGAAACCCTGTAAATTGGCCAGAACTTTAAGTCCACTCTAGTGTACTTTGGTATTATGTGTACATTAGAGCAGGAGTTTTCAATCTTCCAAATGCTATGGACCCCCAAATATATTGATATTTATTTAGCATGGGACACCATCCTAAAATTTTAAATGGCACTTAAGGCAGCTATATATTTATATCTAAAAAGACCTTATTTATAATGTGGAAAAATGTATATTATAACCGTGTTGCGTTTTTTTTAGTACTGTATTAAATCAAAATGTATTCATTTAAATTTATATTTTATAATGTTTTTATTTTAATTATGTATTTTTATTTTTTATTTAATTCAATAAAAAATATTTTTTATCAATTTATCATTTTAATCAAATTAGGGATGTCAATATTCGCAAATTCCTATGATCGATCGTCATTTAAATTAACGATGAATTTATCGATTAATTGTTAGCATTAATGGCAAACAGCATTACTGGGTCTGCAAATGCTGCTCAAAAAGGTATGTTCCTCACCAAATTAATAAGAATGTTTTTTAATCTAAATAAAGAGTCAGTTGGATTGTTAAATATTTTGATGAGATTGACAAATTAAATTAATTGTTTAATATATAAATATAACATATACATTTGTCACCAACGCCACCTCAGATGTGTGCTTGTCAGAATGTGTGACTGTTGTGAACGTGCTGAAAACGACAACTAAACCCAATGAATTCTGAATAACTGAATAATATGAAATGAATAACTGTTGAGCACTTTGGTAGCGTTTATTTAACTCAAAGAAACTGTGCTGGATGTGTTTAAAAGAATAGTCACCCAAAAAAGAAAGTTACTCACCCTCAACAATCCTAGGTGTATATGACTTTCAGCCAAACACAATCAAACTTATATAACTTTGTAATGGCATTATTGCTGTTTCTAAATGATATTCACTCTCCCGGGTATCTGATAGATCACAACACTGGAGTAGAGAGGACCATGAATTGGCATCATGCAGAACAGTGACAGGAATTTAAAACTGTGAAGAAATAAAGCTAATTAGCCTAACTTCTGAATAGATATAAAGGGATGCACTAGGAGCTGCCTGTGTGCACAATATCTCTTCTCTTGACTCTTTGTGACCTGCACTTTTCAAACTGTCACAGCTTTAAATGTGTCCTTCTGCACCTGGGATGCACATAAGCGATGTGTGCTGCTCTCTGTGGTAGCCTTTCATATGATAGTTTTGCATTCTGAAAGATTATAATTAATAACCTTGTTATTGTCTTATGTCATCTATAATATCTCACTGCCCCAATTAAAAAGCTGTACAAAACATTTTAAATAAATTTCTTTTAATTGTATAGAATACATTGTTTTTCAGAAATGTATTTTATAAGAATACAAAATTTACATTTGTTTTTAATATTTAGCCTAGCTTGATTATACTTTAGGTTATTTATGTGCTTTCAACATAAACATTAAGTGTTTGAAACAATAAGAATCTTATAAATATAAAGAAGAAAAGCATCTTTATTTAGATTTATCTGCTTTAGCTGCAGTTCACAACTTGTTTATTTTAAAATCATTTTGATTTTATGAATGTAGTTGAGTGGATGTCACTTATGATGTTGCTATGGATGAAACCTCTAGCAAAACAGAAACAGTAACAGCATTTATAATGCATCACCATGGCAACCAGTCGCAACTACATTTCCCTGGCATTTGAAATGTGTTTTAAGTCATTAATGGCTTTTATTGATAAATCGGACTTGGCAAGCAGTTGTCTTAAGTCTTTCTGTAGTGATAAAAACAGTTTAAATGAGAAAGTTAGTTTTGTTTTCTGTTGAATTGAATACTGTTAGAACGTCTACATATTGCTTTTCTGATTGACGTGCGACAAATGTCCATCTTGTCTAGTGTAAACATGGGTCATATTTTCTGTTGATATTTGATCATTTAGGAGGAGACCCCAATATCATTATTATCCTTAATGAAAAACACAACAACTAGAAAAACACAGCTGAGGGAATACCGCCTAATTGACTGACAAACATGTAATATTAGTAACTGCACTTATAAATGCAAAACAATAGTAGTTTTATGATAAATTAACTTTCAAATCAGCTACTACTCTCAAATGTTAGTCTGGTCTGGAGCCGTGCCTGGTCTAAATGGGTTTTAATACTAGCCCGTCACAGAAATTTCTGTCATGCTTAAAACACAGTAACATTTCAAAGGAAACAACCTATACCTCAGCATTATGTTCTCTGTTTTCACTCTCTCTTTCACTCTCTCTTTTCAGTCTCAGGACTCACCTTACTCAATGAGCGTACAGCGCAATGTCAGAGCGCTCTGGGCAAACGGCAAAGGGGAAGGATGGCAAAACCAAGTATGCGTCTCTCAACCTGTTTGATACCTACAAAGGAAAGAGCCTTGAAGCACAGAAGCCTGTTGGTGAGTTAAAGCTTTTAGGATTTATTGTCGTGAACGTTTTGTTGTCTAAACTAATTTATGTCTATCTGTTTTTTATGGAGTAGGGATGGTAACGATTAATCAACAATAATTTAATTGATAAAACTTATCTATTGTCGATTTAGCAAGGTCATGTGCTACGCGAAATTTTAAAGCAGACACGAGGAAAAATAAAGCGACCATGCTGGAGACCATTTTGCGTTACAAAATAGTTACACCTTCATGACTACACATTTACTTGTGCATTCACAGCCTTGTTTTTATGTGCAAATGTATTGTTTATTTTGTGTTGGCCTATATCTGATTGATCTCAGATAGGATTGATTAAAAGGTTAGTTCACACAAAAATGAAAATTCTGTCATTAATTACTCACCCTCATGTTGTTCCAAACCCATAAGTCCTTTGTTCCACAGAACACAAATTAAGATATTTTTGATGAGATCTGAGAGCTTTCTGTCCCTCCATTGCAACTTTCAAGGCCCAGAAAGGTGGTAAAGACATAGTTAAAATAGTCCAGTGGTTCAACTACAGTGCAAAAAAGCTGTTGCATATTAAGAAAATATAGTCCTATACAGTGTGCAATTTAAGATCATAATCTGCCTGGGCTTTCTGAAACAAAGCGGCCTCGTGTTCATTGATTTCGAAGTTTCTTAAATCCCACTCTGCATCACTCTAGCATTATTTAAACATTTTTCAGTTGTCAGCATTGTAAAGGGGAGCTTACTGAACTGTTGAGGTTTGAGTTCTTCTTGTGATCTTCGCTTTCCCTACTTATGTTTTATTCAGTAGCCGAACTACTAGGCTAACTACGGAGCTGTCCCTGTTTTTACAAATAAAGTTCTCCCTGTGGTTCAGGCTGCTTTGCTCCAGGAAACAAATAGGGAATTGAGAGTTGGGACAGATACGTTTTTCATTATCTGAAACCACCAATGACTGCTCTGTGCATTGTTCAACCTATTTTGCATGGGCCAAGTCTGTCTTGAGAGTTTTATGGTGGGATTTTTTTTTTTGACCAACTCAATTACGAGTCAACCACTTGAAACAAATCCTTGTAAGATAGTTTTGCTCCTTTCACTGGCCAGTCAAGCATTCCAAAACCATAAGGGATGGAGTTTGATGTTCTCGCAGTCTCTTCCGCTCAGTCAGGCTGTGTCCCTTAAGATGGTGTTCGGTTTCTGTGCCTGTTTATTTACCTCCTCCTGTTCCACTTCTACTTTCAGTTGCCCCTCGTCATGGCTTACAGTCTCTTGGTAAAGTTGCCTCTGCACGGCGCATGCCCCCCCCTGCCAGCTTGCCTAGTTTGAAGGCAGAGAACAAAGGTAACGACCCCAACGTCTCGCTCGTTCCCAAAGACGGCACAGGATGGGCAAGCAAGCAGGAACAAGCAGACCCAAAGAGGTGAGGGATGTTCACGTCTGAAGGAGCTACTTTGCTTCATGATGTTGTATGTGTAATTCAATGCAGAATAACAATAAAATCTCTACCAGCTCCATCACCATCAGTATAACTCTGCACTTTGAAAAATGCGACAATTAACTGACAATGTGTTAAAATGGTACATTTTTTTCACGATGGACCACCCAGATTGTTAAATTAGATTTTTGTAGAGAGTAATCATATCACGTCAGGTTTTGATTGGACTGTTTAAAACATAATTATCTTCAGTGACCTTTCACCTTCTGCTGTTTGTGTTAATACAGTCTGATTGGGTACATGTCCATGCCTGCCATCTAATGCTTGTTGTTTTGGTTCTGATCTTTTCTGTAGTACCGATGTATTGTCAGCAGCGCAGCCGGAGTTGCAGCCGCCTGTGGCCTCACAGACGTCTGTGCCGAGCGTGCCGAGAACACCTCCAGCTCAAGAGGTGCCATCACACAAACATGAATAATCTTCAATATTATGCATGTTATTTAACATGTAAACTTTTAGTTAATTAGGTCTGTCCCTTACAGCTGTACATGTTGTTGTTTAAGTCATTCCACATCTTTAAATCAATACACTTTTTGGCATAAATGTTTTTGCTTGTTACTCTGGGACTTTGTTTGGTTCTTGACACTTTTTTGCATGTCTCTTAGGCCCCGACTCAAGCTCTAGCCGTAGGACCAAGGTCCTGGGCACCGGCCAGTGTTACACTTGGAGTACAAGGAGATGGTAAGAGATAACAACATGGAGTTCATAGAGTACTAGGGCTGTAGTCAACCAAAGAAATCCTTAGTCAACCAAAGTCTTGTCCTGCGCAATGATTAGTCGACAAAAAAAACAAAACTTTGTTTTGATTGAAGATTTTTTAAACAATTGTCATAGAGCATTTATAAAACAACAACGAAAAAACATCACAAATAAATAAAACTACAATAATAATACAATTCTTTGAAGATTAAGTGATTTTTTTTTTTACTGAAAAAGTGAGGAGCACTGTCCTAGGTCTATGCAGTAACAATCGCGCACCTGATCACACCACACGCTACAAAAAAATAACTGCTGTCTGCCACATTATGAAAAATCCTAACAAAAGCTCTCGTTTATACAGGCTGTATATTCTTCTTTACTTACAAAGCTATGGGTTAATTTTCATCCAGACAATCAAGGCGTTTTAAACAAATACACAAAGAAACCCAAATAGCCTAAAAAAAAAAAATCCAAATAATAATTGGCAGTATTTTGGAAGGCATATAGGTTTATTTTTATTTTGTTGCATTATTTAGGCTATTTTCAAATGCGTAAAGTGTACAAATAAAAACGAAAACATATTAAGAAAACACACTCAATTGAGTCAGCATGATGTAGCCGTTAAAAGGACTGCTCACGTCTTTTGCGCGCTCAAGTTCGATTTCAAATATAGGTGCGCGGGCTCATAATGGAGCAACGCGTTCGCCTCCCTCCACAGTCTTGTCGTCTTTGTTTTAAAATGCATCCAGACAAAAGATTTAGATTTCTTGGACATTTTGTCGACTAAAGCCAAAACAAGCAGCGTTCGAACTGACTGAATACAGCATCCCTTACTGAGCGCGAAGCAGCAGTGCAGCCGGCCACAGGTGCGTTCCCGAGTGTTCTATGTGTTGCGCTAAACTGTGGCGCAGTTACAAAAATAGCCTAAATTAAAGCATTTAAAGTTGGGGATAAAACATAGGCTAATTATATTTAGAATACAGTAATAAATAACTGCTTATAAAGGAGTAAATATCAAGGAGTAAATCATTAAAACATTTTTAAAAACATTGTTTTTCACAGGTGGAAAGGGATCAAACCAACAGTCGCCATTCTCTCGCGAGGAATTTCCCACCCTGCAGGCGGCTGGAGACCAGGACAAAGCTGGCAAAGAACAGGCCACTGCAGATCAGTGGTATGGGCCAGGACCAAGCCTCCGCCCCCAGAGTAAGCATGAGTGCCCTGTTCTCCTTTCCGTAACTGTTGTGGTGATTTGTCTTGGAGCATGTGATATATCTGTTAAATTCTAATGCTTCTGATTCTTGTTGGTTCACACATTCAGCGGACTCTCAATAAACTATTTTTTGTTCTAGACGTAACAAGTTGGCGGGATGGTGGGGGCCGGGCATTGGCACCCACCCTGGCTGGGGAGGCAGTTGCGGAGGGCGGTGCTGGGGGAAATATGGTGATGGAGGGTGCTGCTGGGGCCCCTCCCATCCCACAGCAAAATGCATCGTCTCATGGGCTGTCTAGAAATCCCTCAACCAGCAACCCCGCACTTCCCCTCCCCCAGCCACCTATTGGCCCGCAATTCCAGGCTTACAGAGGGATCATACCTCCCTTCGTAAGTGTGATCATCTCTAGAGAATGACAAAATGTGTACAATTTTGATTGATTAATGTGTTCAGTGCATTCATAACCTTTCTGTTCTGTCTGCATCTTTATCTCTAGATGTATTCACCATACTTGCCCTTTCCACCCCCCTATGGTCCACAGGGACCTTACAGGTACCCACCCCCAAACGAGGCCCCTAGGTAAGATTATTTGCGAGTAGAAATACTACTACTATTCATTTCCGCTGTTATCTAGTTGACTTCCTTAACCGTCTTCTGACTTCTTGCCAGGTTTTCTCGTTCCCAGGGTGGAGTAGGGCCAGATGGGCGGCCGTCTGGAGGCCCCCGGGGTGAAGTGGTAAAACGCCCATCCATCCTCAAACAGGATGATCTGAAGGAGCTGGATGAGCTGGACCATGATGGAGATGAGGGCTGGGCTGGTAAGAGCAAAGCTTTCAGTTCTTCTGACATATTAAGAGTGTAGAAGATTCTTTTGATTTGTTATATATTGCATAATTAGGCAAGTTTATGAAATAGGTAACTTGCATACAAGGAGACAAATTTTTTTTAAAGTTAAACCCAGCTTTTTATCTTATTATTTGGAGGTACAACATATAACTACACTGTCATAACCTTTTCTTGATGATTTGCTTTGCTCTCAGGAGCCCAGGAGGAAATCGACTATTCTGCAAAGTTGAAGTTCAGCGATGATGAAGGAGAGGATGATGGGGGGGAAGAAGAACGGACTGAACACAAAAATGGAAACCGGTAAAGAATTCCGATATTGGTTGATTACTTTTAACTGTTCTTTTTGCTCTCTGAAGTCCTTTTTGTAAACTTTATATTCTGCTGCAACAGGGAGTCAAGGGAGCAGCAGAGATCCCAAGATGGACCTGCACCAGTTTCACGTTCCCGGGCATCCGACAGTGGAGGGGATTCGCGCCGCACCCCTCCTTCCAGTGCTGAAGATGGCTCCGCATCCCCCTCCAGCAAGCCATGCTGGGGTGAGGAGAGTGGAAGCAGCTGGAACAGCCAAGCAAATGCAGGATCTTATCAGGTATTAAACCCATCTCCCCATGCAGGTGCAGATGTTTCAGATCCTTCAGTGGTACCCCCGCATTTGCCAAATAATGTGCAGTCACTGTGAGGACAGGAACGTGCTTGTAGTGTTTCCTGGATGACTCACTGATTGGTGCGTGTACCCCTATGCAGAGGTGTGGGTCTGGACTAGGTGGTCCAAGGGAGGAGCCCTCCCTCCCACCAGGTCCAATTCTTGGACAAGGGCCCTACTCCTACTACCGCCAGGTATATGGGAAAGGAGTCCAAGAAATAGGACGGACGCGACATCAAGCTCTAACAAAAGCATGTTGGTGTTGATGACGATGTGGTTACCATTGGTGAACTTTAATTACTAACCCACTTTCAATCAACAGGACCGGCCTTCTAACCAGTCGCCAATCTCCGGCCCAATCCTGGCCCCCCAGAAGCCCAACGGTGCCCAGGCACAACAGCAGGTGGGGGCGATGCCTGGTGGGCTGACCCCTCCTCCCTCCAATGCCCTGCACCCCCAGCAACAGGGTGAGGATGAGGATGAGACATGGCGGCAACGAAGGAAGCAGTCGTCAACCGAGATCTCTGCTGCAGTAGAGCGGGCCCGTCGTCGGCGTGAAGAGGAGGAACGGAGAATGCAGGAGGAGCGCCGTGCTGCATGTGCTGAGAAGCTCAAAAGACTTGATGAAAAACAGCAGCAGCAACAGACAATGAAACCCAGCAGCCCCAGTGACGTTCCAGCCAACAGCCCTAGTCCTTCCTTGTCTGCGCCTGCCTCGTCTCCTAATGCCAGTCAGCCATCGTCACCCTGTGTGGACACTGAAGAACCTCCTCTGTCGTCCGTTCAGGGAAGCGGTACAACATTGGGACCGAATATTATTAACAGACAGAGGGCTGGCAGCAACAGCAGTCATGACTCCAATACTGGTTAGTTTCCATTATAGTTTTCATCTTTTCTTGATGAATGTTTGTTGTAGAAAATGAGCAAACCATTTCAGTCTGTTTCCTCTTCATTCAGAGTCCCAGCAGCCTCAAGCCACCCAGCATCCACAATCCTTGGATGTCCCAGTGCCTGGAGAAACCAAGGAGGAACCTGCGGTGGGCGGGCCACACATCCGTGGCCCTAGAGGTGGAGATGACTCTATGAAGTTGGTTGAAAGTGTTGCTGGAACAGGACGGCAGGGGAGTGGCCCACCTGGGCAGGGCTTTTCCAAGTATCAAAAATCTCTTCCTCCTCGTTTTCAGAGGCAACAGCAGGTTTGTTTTGTCTCTATATATGGAAAAAGTCATATCCATTATATACAATGTTTATAATGGCAATGACTCACAGTTCCAGTGAATGTATTATATACAAGGAATGTCAATTTACACAAATTTCCATTATCATTCCATTATTGTCTAAATAAAGGACTAGTAGGATTGTAAAACGAGTCTATGTGATTTGATCATGTAATTAAATTACTTGGTTGTATTAGTCCCGTTATATTTGATTATTAAATATCAGCAATGCCGCCTCAGATGCGTGCTGGTCAGAATGTGTAAATCCTGTTGTGGTCATGCTCTATTGCAAATTATTAAAATAGTGTTATCATGTTATGTAACATGACAGTCCCAATCATAGTTATTATTAGTCGTGCATTGATGTTTGTCCTGAGCGTGCTGAAGCTGATGCACTGAATTTTACTACTGCATTAATTCTTAACCAAATGCATCCTATTGACCATTTCACAAGATGTAAACAACACTGGTCCAGAAGCACTTCCTGTTTCAGTTTTTTAACACTACATAAAAGCTGGGATAAAATACAACCAACAGAACATTTAAAACTGAATCAAAAGTTAAACAAACATCTTTAAGATGTTTTCTTTACATGTGAAATAAAGAAAACAGTTACAAACTGAAACAGGAAGTGTTTCTGGACCAGTGTTGTTTACATCTTGTGAAATGGTCTATATGAGATCAATCAGATATAGGCCTAAACAACATAAACATAATATAACATTTACATTTGCACAAAGCAACAAGGGTGTGAATGCCCAAGCAAACGTGTAGTCATGAAGGTGTAGATGGTGAAGATGCATTATAAATGTATAGCTAAAACACATTACAAAGATTGTGTACTGTGAAATACTTAATTGTAGAGTTAGACTGTTGAGCAGTTTTTATCTGGCACCTGTTTTAATCCCCATCACACTGAGTCTGCATTTCCATAGTTCATTGTACCGGAGTATAAAATCAGCTTTTTTTGTGTTTTAAAGAAAAAATATCTTTAACACAATAAAAGCTGAGTTTCTTTATACTCTGAGACTGAGGTTAAAGTCTGTCAAACATTAAAAACGTTCAATAAAAAACATGGCTTATGTCATTTGTGGGCAGGAGCAACTTCTCAAACAGCAGCAGCAGTGGCAGCAGCAGCAGCAGCAGCAGCAACATAACCAGGTTGCCCAAAATCAGCTTCAGTCCCAATCTCAGAATCAGCAGGGCCCCTCACCAGGTACCACACCACAGTCTGGGCCTAAACAGCCAACCCTTTACCCCCCTGGCTCAATGGGGCGCCCTCCACCTCTCACTATGAACTTTGATCCCCGCTGGATGATGATGCCATACATGGACCCCCGAATGATGCAGGGACGTCCCCCACCCATGGACTACTACCCTCCCAGCATGCATCCTTCTGGTTAGTAAAAAAAACCAACAACAGATAAACTGTGAATATTTTACCAATGTTTTGTTGTCCAGGGATGATAAGGTCTTTTGTGTTTTAGGGATGATAAGTCGAGAACGTTCTGATTCTGGTGGCTCTGGGTCAGATCCGTTTGATAGACAGCAGCATAGCGGACCCCCTCATCCTCATCGTGGCACACCACCCATGGATCCCAAACTGGCTTGGGGACCGGAAGTTTTTCCTGGGGTACTGAGGGTCGAGGTCTAACTTCCCCTTTACGGCAGAAAGCTGTCGAGGAAGAGGAGGCTGGCAAAGGTCAAAGGTAACAAGACGCCATTTCAAACATTTTTTATATTAAAATAGAAAGTAATTGCATTAAACTAAACAGCTTGAGTTAAGATTCTTTATTAATGAATTTTAATGTTGAATAACTTTGCAAGCTGTTCATTTATAGCATTTTGTTAGACTTTTCTTTTCTTTTTAAGCATGACATGTTTTTTTTCTTTCTAAATGTTTCTAGAAGTGACACTCCTCCAGTGCGTATGCGAGAGGGAGGAACGGCTTCCATCCAGCCGCCTGGTGTGGCTCCCAGCTCTCCATCAGGCTCATCCAACCAAACCCCACCTCCTCTGGGGATTCAAGTTGGTGGCCAGGGTGCTAGCCACCATACCCATCATCAGCCCTTTATGGCTGGGCGAGGAGGTTACAGTAGCTACCCTGACAGTGGATCCAGAATGGGCCCCCTCCTGCAGCAAAGGGCCAACAGTGGAGGGACACTGCATGGTTTTGGCCATCAGGAGAGTAGTCAACAGAGCCAAATCTGGGGGACTCCTCATCCCCATTATGACCGTAATGGCCGTTCTGATCACTCTGCCGTGGAGGCCAATTCACATCTCCAACATCATGGTCCTCCTACTCATCCTCCTCATTTCACTCTTCATCCCCATAAGCAAGAGAATGGCAGGGAGCGAGAAAAAGTGGGGGAGCCAAAAAAGAGTGACCCATCACCTCCACTACATCAGCCGTCCCTCTCCTCTTCCTGTTCATCGTCATCATCGTCATCTTCCTCAGCTAGAGAAGATGGCAGTGGAAAACAGTCCCTACATAATCAAGTCACACCACAGCATGAGCAGGATACTGGATCTGCTCATGCTTCAGGAAGGAAACAAGAGAAGATGGGAAATGCACATAATCAGCCCCAACAGCATTCTGTGCAGCACCATCATCCTAAAGCCAACCCTCGCATTCGGGAGCACAAAACTGAGACACACTGGGGCCCAAGGCCTGGTAGCAGTAGCATGGGTGGGGGCTCAACCCACAACAGGAAGGCAGGCTCTGGAATGAGTGGAAATACTGAAGAACCTGCAAATCAGGGGACTGAGAACAAATGCTTTACTCAATCAGATGGCATCACAGTCAAGCGGGCAGGTCCTATTAAGAGACCAGTGCTAAAAGAGATGAAAAGAGAGGGTGGTGAAGGAGGAGGAGAAAAGACCACTGGAGGCTCTGGTAAAGATAAAGAACAAGATGCTAGCCAGACCACAACCAAACAAGAACCAGCATCTGGGGCTCAAGCCTCCTCAGCACCCAGTGGAAAAGATGATGCAGTCTCATCAAATAAATCCAGAACTGGCGGAAAAGAGCGAGGCAACGCTGGGGGTACAGGTAAAGGATCTAAAAACGGAGAAAGCTCCATTCAGAATTCTGGCTATTCAGCTCCTCAATCCAGGAGGGAACGAGAGCTTTCTTCTGAAAGAGGAAGCACAACTTACCATGCATCCTCATCCAGAGGTAGCCGATCCAACCGTGGCCGAGGAGAGTTCTTTGGCCGAGGCCGAGGCTACAGGGGCACTTACACTGGCAGTGCAGGTGGAGGTAGCCGTGGGAAAGCAGGTGGCAGAAGCAGTAAGGACTATAGGTCAGCAACTAACAGTGGCTACCACCATGCACCTTCTAATCAAGAATACAAGCGGGAGGCATCATCTGGCAGTGGTAGGCACGGACATGGGGGCTCTCAGCCAAATCCGGGACGTGCTAGGAACCGAAGTGAGACTCGAAGTGAAGGCTCTGAATATGAAGAGGTGCCAAAGAGGAGGAGACAACGGGGATCTGAAACGGGCAGCGAGAGTGCTGGTAGTGACCTTGTTCACTCAGACAAGGAAGACCGCAAGCTGAACATCAAGACTGGCACACGAGGAGAGAACTCTACAACAGGCCTTTCTTCTTCAGCTCCAATCAGAAACTCCCAGACTAGAGTGTTCACTCCAAGGGGAGTGCCATCAAGACGTGGTAGAGGTGGAGGTGGTGCTGGAGGGGGTCTCCATAGAAGTGGAGGCACTGCTGGAATGTCTGGTGGACATAGATCTGGACCTGCCTCTGCTTCTCATGGCTGGTCTACAAAATCTGCAACTGTGCGAAAGCAGCATACATCCTCACAGCCATCCCCTCCTAAAGATTCAGGCCGTGGAATAAATGCTGACAAGAAGAAAGCTGCAGACCTGAATCAATCTCAGAGTCAAAGTGCGAATCCCTCCGCACCTAATCCCTCTGTGCCTACAGCTATCCAACAAGGGTCCACTGAGAATGGAAGTGTTGGAGCCCCTCTGCCCTCAAGTAATGCCCCTTCAAATTCCACTGGTGCTCCTAACCAGACTCTTCCTCAGTCTACCCAAGACGTACGAAGTTTCCCTAACAGGGGATTTGAGCGGCCCCCTCGTCGTAGGCGCCACGGACGATCCCAGCATCAGCAGGACAAGCCTCCCAGATTCCGCAGACTTAAGCAAGAGCGAGAGAATGCAGCCCGTATAAATGGAAGCAGTGGAATTGAAGTCATACCGGGACAACAGCAGCCCGCTGCTTCACCGTTGCAGAATTCCCTGCAAGAAACCAACAGCACTCCCAATGCCTCTGCCCCAGCTGTGGCAAATGCAAACCACAGTGTGTCTGCAACTTCTAACAATAATAATAATAGCAGCAACCTTGGGGCTGGAAATCAAAACTTCAATAGTCACCACCACCACCATCACTACCAGGGCAACTCCCAGTCACACCCTCAGCACCATCACAACCATAACCCAGCTGGGGGCGCCAAATCTCCCGACGTCTCTAACCAGAACTCTGACCAGGCAAATGAGGAATGGGAAACCGCCTCAGAAAGCAGTGATTTCACAGAGTTTCGAGAAAGAGAGGGTGGAGGAGGGAAAACGTATTCTTCGCATCATCATCATCACCACCATCCATCAGGAAGAAGTGGTGGAGGCAACAGTGGTGGTGGCGAGAGAGAGATGACGGCTAAAGAATTGGCCACCAACAAGAGAAGCTTCTCCAGTCAGCGCCCTGGAATGGAGAGGCAGAACAGAAGGGTGAATACCGGTGGGGGTGGGGGTGGAGGAGGAAGAGGCCCCAGGGCTCCGCCCGGTGCTGGTGGGGCAATGGGTGGAGCTGGTGCTGGCGGGGGCAATCGTGGTGAGAGGCGTGGAAACTGGCCCTCTCCTAAGAACAGGAAGTGATTTTGTTTTTGTTTTTGGAAATGTTTAAAATGCATCCCTCTATCTTTGGCCACTCTTTTCTGTAAAACCTCTACCCCCTTAACATAACACTTTATTATTGTAAAAGATTAGTTACCCAGACCATGTACTTTTGGTTTATAGCTTTTTGTCCCTTAATTGGAAATTCACACTCCCACAGATCCTAAACTACTCCTTGAGATTTTACATACTACACCCCATTTTAATGGAAGTATTTCCTGACTGAAAATGCATTCAACCACATGACCCATTTATGTTTGCATATACAAGCACAATATTACATCAACCTGACAAAAATGTGCTTGAAGTATGCTGGGCACGTTTCATATATTTATGTAAGAACTGTGGCTTGAAGTATATATGAAAGCTAAGGTTGATATTATGTACTTGTGTATTCACATCACATGTTGGATTTTTGGAAGTTGCTCTTTTAATGAGAACAAATGTATCATAGATTTGTTTTTCCCCTCATTGTGTTTTGAATTTCTCCCTATGTTCATTTCCATTTCAACCTCTCTTTAAAGGTGAGGATATATCTTTTTTTTTTCTTCTGCAAAGCAGGTCATTAAAATGTATTTTTAAATAGAATCCCCTTCATTTTTGGTTCAATCTTGCGTACTAATGTGCTTGCCCCACTAAGTATTACACCACAGCTCACTTTGTTTCGTTTTTTTTTTTTTTTTTTTTTTTTTTGGAGGGGAGGGGGGAATATCAATGTCATGCCCACTTTTTCAGAACAACATGGTGTAATTTTTTTTCCCTTATGTTAAATTCACAGGCCTTCTCTGCTCATTGCTTTGGGTTTTCAAATAGTTTCATTTGTGGTTTTGGCCTCGGCATGGAATTGTAGACTATTAGTGCACATTATACGTCGTTGGACGGTGATCTTAAATGAAGGTCCTTCAAAAGTTCCTCTTCATGATCACATTGTTTTAAGGCCGTTTCTGTTGTGAGCAAAACCAAATGACTCTTAGCCTAAGTGTCAGATCCTCATTAAATTAGTTTTTTTTTTTTTTGTTGTTGTTGTTGAGAACATGCGTTACAGGTTTTCTTGTCTTGCACTTATATTAAGCCAGTAAACTCCTAAAATCTCCTTTAGATTAAAGATTGTTTTTGTTTTTTTTCTTTCTCCAAATGATTAGCTGTATATTGGGCATCTTATTTGACTAGGTGTCATACTGCAGTTCCAGGTTATTGAACATGAAAAGTATTGTGCTATTGTTATATTCATTTACCAGTTCTTGGGCGTGTAGAGAATCGCTCTTTGACTACCCTCTGCATTGTAAATTCCCTCATTTTTTTATTTTTTTAAACAAAAGAAACTTACACAAGCTCTTCCTCCTGTGTGTATTCCCAAAGTCCCTCAAAACATGCATCAGAACATGAGCAGATTTCTTGCTCATATCCTCGGACTGATCTTCTATATACCAGTCATCTCATTGAGACACAAGTCAATGCCAAGGAGTCTGTGGCCCTTTTTTGAGTAGTGTTACAAAAAAAAAATTGAAACAAGACATTGGTTCAATGTGCAATATGCCTGACGTCAAACAAAACCTACCCATCCAGGGAGCCTGAGCCCAGGTTAACAAGAAACCACAAATGCTTGACGTCTAAAAGAAACGGATCAAAGCATTGTTCCCTCCTCATTTTGACCAGCATCTGTATCCTAATGGTGTAAGTTGGGGTTTGTTTGTTTTCTGGAAATGCCTTGGTCTAATGAATAGCTTTGAAATATGTAGGGCTTTTGAATGAAATGTTTGTGAGTAGGGCATTTAAAAAGTGTGTGTGTGAATTTATATCTGATCTCTACTTGTAATGTGATTTTTTTGAGGGTAGAACACTTTGTGAAAGGCGAACATAAGTCCCAATTGCCCACTTTTTCTGACACTATTAGGATGTTTATTTTATCTAGGATATTTTCATTATATACATTGTGTGTATATGTTAATCCAAATGAAGTGCAGTGGAAAAAAAAGGTTAAATCAATATATCTATATATTTTCCAATCTTCTAAGGAAAATAAGTTAAATGGTTTATTTGACTTTACTTGCAGACATTTTACCAAGCATGGTTTCATCCTCCGATACAGCTTGGTCAGTCTATTCGTTGGAAGCCATTCTCTTATTGGCTTTCAGTGCTGTTTATCATCCCTCTTAAACTTAATACATTGATGTGGTCACATTATATGTACCAATATTTGAATAGAAATGTGTATTCCTTGAAATACTCAGAGATTGTATTATACTTCTAACTATACCAAGGTACCTGAAGTTGTTGCTGCTGTCCTAGCATCTATAGCTTATTATTGGAACCTTGATATACACACATGTATGTATATTGGTATGCATCTGAGTTTGTCTGCCCCAACTTACATTCCCACACACAGTTGTTGCCATTTTTAAGTTCAAGGGAGCAATGTACAAGCAGAGAAGTGTCTTATTATAATAAAAAGTATACAGAGAAAAAGTTAAATAAAAATCTTTTGTTTAAATGGAAGATCTGTGGTTTGACTTCATTTCACCAACATAGTGTCATTAAGAGTTTTTAAAAGGGGAATTCAATTTTTCTTTCTTTTTGCTTGCCATGTCCATTGTCATTCCATTGATGTGTGTATATAATATATTTTATGTATATACACCTAAATTAGAATGAACACTTTTTTTTTTTTGAGAACAACTATTAGGGCATAGCGGGGCACAACGTAACACTTTTTGACTGTTAATTTGTGTAAATCTACTTAAGGTTTAGAGAATTTTTTTCCCCCCACATTAATTTCCCACATGTCTAGTACAATTATGTGGTTTTGTTTTATTAATACAGTGTATACTTTTTTCTTGATTTACCCTGAAAGAATGGAAGTGAAATGTGACAACATGCCCCCTAGGTGGGGTACATTGTAACATCACCATATAGCAGCTTAAAATGCTATCTGATAAAATAAAATAAAATATACAAGTCAAACCAAAATATTTTCTTAATAAAATACAATTATTAACTTTTTAATAATTAAAAATATACACATTTTCTAGGTGACAACAAACACCTGAAATCACAGCTATACAGCATAGTTCCAAACAAAATAATAATGAATCATTTATGAACATTGACTCTCAGTCTTTATTAACATGTTTCTCATGTTTTCTCAATAGATTCATACAAGTATAAAATATAATAGCATATTTCTAATAGGGGCACATTGTAACACAGTGTTGCAACATGCCCCACCTTCACAACTGGGGTTTAAACCCTGCTTGCTAGTGTCTTCTACTAGTTAGCGAAGCATTGAAGAACTATATCAACTGTTAAACAACAAATTCGAGATGAAAATAATATCAGATTTGTCTAATTTTAAATAAACACAAATAATAGAGATGAAAAATTAACTTAAGTAAGAAATGTACTTTTGCTATGGTTAAATAAATGTTCAGTGATATTTTAAAAAGATTTCGGAATTTTGGCGCAGTATTTTCTCTAGTGTTGAAATGGCAACTAAATACACCAAGTTTAGTGTAAGTATTTAAAACAAGTGTGTTACAACCACTGATCTATATAATGTCATTCTATATAGATCAATGGTTACAACTAGCTCCATGTTACGTTATGCCCCGTGCTCCCCTACTATAAAGTAAATAGATTTAATAAATGTTTTGCTGCATTCCAGGATGTAGAATTAAGAATATCTTTCCATATCTTATCATACATGATAAATGCCAGGTTTGCACTATTAGTCGATGACTTCAATATCTGAATATAGTAACATATAACATGAATACTTGGTTTATTCTAATCCAGATAAAGGCAAAAGCACTGAATGTGGAAAACTCCGACTATAAAGACTACAATTCCTAGTGGGCAGGATTGAGAGAGCGGAAGTGACCCGCCTCATGATCACGTGCCTAGAGCCGAAGCCTCCAATCAGCGTGCAGTCGTATCGCTGCGGCTAACATCGACCCCGGGAGATCCTTGAGGTAACACGAATAAGCGTTTAAATCAATGTAATGGACAGAAATATGTAGTAGTTTCGATATTTGTTTGTTTTTTAAGTTACTTTGTCAATTCGTTGTTCGTTTTTACGTGTTAGGACAATATCCGTTTGATAATTTATTTTAGAGGCAGTCGGTAAATTTGCTGCGGCCTAGTTTAAGCGTTAGCTAGCAGCGGTATGCTAACTCATCTTGCGTTAACTGAGTACACAAACTACAAAATACACATTTGACCAGATACAAACGTACCAATCATTTTAACGTACCGTATGTTTTTTGACTGCGGATTAAAAAATATGTCCATAAGTATTTTATTGACTCGCCAAAAACAATGAACACCTAAGCAGAAGAATATGTTAGCGTGCGTCAGGCCAGTCCAGTCAATTGTTTACGTGAAAACAAGTCAATTTGTTATAAACATGTACTTGGATTAAACGTGTTAACGCAGGATTATAACTCATTTGTATTGTATGTCATCATACAAATAAAGACTTTTTTTAGGCAGTAATAGTATTTTGTATCTGATATTTTATTCACTTAATGTTGCTCTCATCTCGTCTACAGTTTCCCAACATGAGTAGCTCAGAGGAAGTGTCGTGGATTTCTTGGTTTTGTGGTCTACGGGGAAACGAGTTCTTCTGTGAGGTTTGTATTCGTTCCTGATCGTCTCTTATTTTGTATAATAGCTATTAAGGCGTACCAGGGAGCGTTAATATTGATTAGAAATAAGCTACAGGGTTGAAATCTTACCAGACACGAGCACCGCCCTCTTGAGATGACAATAGGAGTTGTAATAATGTGTGTAGAAATATAATAATTTAAAGTACAAGCTTTCCCAGACCCCAACCTCAAATTAAAGGCATCTTTATAAATGGCAGATTTATAATATTTGATTTATGCATTATTATATTTTCTTCCTAATGTTTCTTTAATTTTAATCTATTTATATTAGTCTGTTTTAATTTAATCTTTTTAAGGTAAATAACGAATATTTTATAATCATAATTTAATTAATTTATCTATTTATTTATTTTAATCTTTTCGTTTATTATAGTTCTTCTCTAGACTTTCCACAGACCCTATGGGGTCATTAGGGGGTTTTGCACTGGAGAAAACTCCTGTTTCGTTGTTCCTGTAACTAAAAGTACTTGTTTTTTGGTGTGTTTGCACCGCAGGTAGCCTAATGGGAATGATTATAGTTCTAAGACACCTCTTGGGGGTACTAAATGACATGACGATGTTTAGCGATGCCGGCTAAACATAATGGTGTCTGTCAGCCACAACTCCTTTGTGGCCCCCTGGAGGTCCCTAAACCCCTGCCACAGAAAACCCTCTTTAACTGTCTCTGAATCATGTCAATCAAACTGTTTTGATGTAATCTGTCTTTTTCAAGAACATTAGATGAACCTGCTTTTATCTTCATATTTGTTGGAATGATGTACATCTCTATTTACTCCATACAGGTAGATGAGGACTACATTCAGGACAAGTTTAATCTTACAGGACTCAATGAGCAAGTCCCCCATTACAGACAAGCCCTTGACATGATCCTGGATCTGGAACCTGGTCAGTGATTTATTTTTTGACACAAACCCACTTTTAAAATTGCAGCTCGCAATTTATAAATCCGATCTTCCGGTGTGATGTCAGCCTTCTCTCTGGTGACGTATGCCAGACTTCTCAGTTTAGTCCAATTAAACTCTGCAGTTAATTGTAAAACAAAAATAAAAAAGGAGTGGGGGCAATTACACATTCAAATCTTTATCCGTCTAATTAGTGTTGTCACGGTACCAAAATTTCAGTATTCGGTACCAATACCAGTTAAAATTCACGGTTCTCGGTACCAATTTTGGTACCAAAGCTTAGTTTAAATTTACATATATTTAAGTGTTTATCACGGTTACAAGTATGGAAACTGTACATTTGTATTATAAACACTTTAGAAAAAGATTAGATAAAATGACCTAAAATAAACAATAGTATACACTAACACATTTTTAAAGTTGTTTGAAAAGTTTTAATCCATTATTTATTTAATGCACAATGAATTATGTGAACAAACATGAACAATCAGGTGTTTGTAATAAATAACATTTTCAAACATTAATTAATGTTGTAAAAATATATTGTTCACTCAATGTGTTGATAACTAAGTAATGTTGATGAATGGTATCTTTGTAGCATTACCATAAAACATGTTTTATTTGACTTGACTGTCCTTTTATTTAATCTAAAACTGCATTCATATTTGATTTTAAAAAGGCTTTTTAAACCTGCTGAGTTATAAAGGCAAGAATACACCTAGAACTGGCACTAACATTAAATGACAATACTAATACCAGTAGTACTCTGGTGTCGGGTGGATACTACTGTGGTCATGTACTCGTAAAACTACCCCGAAAGCACTTTAGAGGCCGTTCACATGTCGCGCGTGTTTTTTAATTATATTTTTGCGCGTGCTTATTCTTTCCAAAGCGCTTGCTCTCACGCGGCGTCTGTCGTTGCTATGCAACGCCAACGAGTTTTTATTATGAGCGCGCTTGAATCACGCCTATATTTGAAATTGCGAATTTGCATGTAATCGGCCTCTTATGGCAACGTGACATTAGCCTAATCCAAAATATTTCCATATGTGGCTCGTTCCTCCTTTCGTTTCAACAAGTGGATTCAGAGAGAGAGAGCCATATCAGCGTTATGAAGAGGACGCAACTGTGCACGTTTCAGACATCGCGTCTAGAACAGAACTGGATTAACCTGGTACTCGGTACCTAGAAAAGCTGGTACCGTAACATTTTTTTTTTTTAGTACCGACTTGGTACCGAAGTACCGAGTTTTTTGACAACACTACGTCTAATTAACAACTGTTGGATTGAAGTCACTGCCTTGAATCTTTTTACTTTTTCTGTGATTGTTAGAATGGGCCCATCCTTAAAAATATTTTGGTTTGCAGTAACAGCAAAAAAAAGGCTTTTTTTTTCCAAGATTCAATGAAAAAAAAAAAGTACAATTTTGGTCATGGCGATTATAAATTTAAACAATTTTGCATATTGTGACGTCATATTCTGACTGGGTCTTCAAACCGTGCATCCATCTTTTGTGAAAAAATTGATTTTTGAGACATAATTTTTCATTGAACCAATTTTCCATGTCTAAAGACATTTCCATTTTCGCCAAATATAGGCAAATCCACAGACAACTAACATGCATTAGGACTAACGTTAAAAAGGGCACTTGAGACACGCACAAGTCGGCAATATTTCTGATGATTTATTGGTGTGAAGTTTCATGCACAATGACAAACAGGAGTGCAACATTTATGGATTGACACCCCTGACATGGGATTATTTTATTTTATAATGTTTCCTGGGTTGCCTTTATAAATTTAGTATGTTTTTTAGATCAAAAATAGTCAAAATGTAGAAATAAAAGGCATTTTAGCCACTGGTTCGAACGCTCTGTTTGCTGTGTTTAACCAGCCGCTGCTGTGATTGGCTGACATGCTTGTCTTGCATA